CTCGAGGTGAGGTCTTTAAAAGCAGGTGAAGTGTCAGAGAGACACTTTCCTGCTGCCTGGAATAAATAAGCTCCAAGATTGTAAGAAGGGTCTACGGAGGGAGCCATGTTGAGAGAGGATATCACGGCACTCTTTAGGAATTGAGAGTGTCCTTGGCTGACAGCTACCGAGAAGAAATGAGGACCTTGTCCCACCACTGCAATGAAATCAATTCTGCCAACAACCTGAATGACCTCGGAAGAGGCCTCTGAGCTCCAGATGAGACCTCAAACCTGGCCGAGATCTTGATTTCAGTCTTGTGATAACCAGTAGAGAATCCAGTTATGCTATACGTGGACTTCTGACCTACAGAAACTGAGGGGTAATAATGAGTATTGTTTTAAGCTGCTTAATTTGTGATAAATTGTTATGAAGCAACAAAAAATTAACGCAGGCAATTAGGGCTGTGAACTGCTCTCAAGGTAGCAGAGAATTCAGAACTGACTGAAAGATAAGCAAAACCTACCTACAGTACCGATGGGGAAAGAACAATTTCTGGAGTCAGAAAAGTGGGGACTGAAACCTAAGTACCACTATTTGTTAGCTGTACGATTTTTGGCAAGTGTCCTTTAAATCTATTCCTTTATCAATAAATTAGGGATAGGCCAGGCGCAGTAGCTCACACCTATAATCCCAACATTTTGGGAGGCCAAGGTGAGAGGATCACCTGAGGTCAGGAGTTCAAGACCAGCCTGGCCAACATGGCAAAACACCATCTCTACTAAAAATACCAAAATTAGACGGGCATGGTGGTGAGCACTGTAGTCCCAGCTACTTGGGAGGCTGACGCAGGAGAATAACTAGAACCTGGCAGGCAGAGGTTGCAGTAAGCCAAAATCACACCACTGCACTCCAGCCTGAGTGATAGACTCTACCTCAAAAAATAATAATAAAATAAAATAAATTTTAAAAATAAATTAGGGATAAAAACTTATCTCACAAAGTTGTTATGAGGCATAAATGGGATAATAGTTTGTGGCAGGTAGTGGCACATTGTAAATTATAGTCATAATTGTATTTTAAAAAGCAAAAAAATACACCAGTAGCCAATCTAAGTGACTGTAGGCAAAGTGGAGGGACTCTGACAGCAGGGAGACCAGTTGGGATTCGAATGCAATATACCCCAGTGCTTTCTTACTTGCTTTTCTTACTTTTCTTACTTTCTTACCCTGACCTCATCCTAAGCTTCCAGCACTTGGAGATTTGATGAACATTAACTGAACTGCAGGGAGGTCAAAGCTTTCCCCGTTGCCTTTGGCCAGTGTAGGGGCAGAAAGGGGTGATCCTTTTCCTCCCCATCATAAGGCTCATGGCTGACACTCCCATAATGAAAGATAGGTTAACAAGAAAAAAAACATAACAAGTTTATTGATCATAGTTTTATGTGACATGGGAGGCTTCAGATTAAAGACCCATAGATAGAAGGAAAATCGTCCATTTTTATGCTTAGGTTCAATAAAACATACGTAATTTGTGATTGGACAAAAAGGGTCCAAGCTAATAGAAATGGATTGAGTGGGAAAACCCAGCAAAGCCTGTCTGTTCAAATCCTTCTGGCCTCTCTTTTGTATCATTTCTTCCTCCCTGTCCTCCCTACTATGGGGTATGATCCCTCTGGAATAGTGTCTTTTTTTTTTTTTTTTTTTTTTTTGAGACGGAGTCTCCGCTGTGCCTCCCAGGCTGGAGTGCGAGTGGCGTGATCTCGGCTCCACTGCAATGCTCCGCCTCCCCGGGTTCCATGCCATTCTCCCCCGCCTCAGCCTCCACAAGTAGCTGAGACTACAGGCACCCGCCACCCACGCTCCGGCTAGTTTTTTTTTTATTTTTAGTAGAGAACGGGGTTTCACAGTGTTAGCCAGGGATGTCCTCGATCTCCTGCCTCGTGATCCACCCGCCTCGGGCCTTCCCAAAGTGCTGGGAATTAACAAGGCTTGGCCACCGCGCCCGCCTGAATGAGTGTCTTAATTTCATCTTTTCTTTTCTTCTTTTCTTTTTTTTTTTTTTTTTTTTGTTTGAGACAGAGTTTGCTCCTTTGTTGACCCAAGCCTGGAGTGCCTAGTGCGCAATCTCGGGCTCCACTGCAACCTCTGCGCCTCCCAGGTAAGGTTCAAAAGCGATTCTACTGCCTAGCTTCCCAAGAGCTCGGATTATCAGGGCATGGTTCACACACCACGCCGGCTGATTTGTGTATTTTCAGTAGAGAACGGGGTTTCCTCCACGTTGGTCAGGCTGGTCTCAAACTCCAGACCTCAGGTGATCCACCTGGCTTGGCCTCCCAAGTGCTGGGAAAGGATTAATAGCGTGAGTCCCACCGTGCCCAGACTTTAATTTCTTTTTTCTTTTCTTTTTTTTTTTGAGATGGAGTCGCACTCTGTCACCCAGAGACTTGGAGTTGCAGGTGGTGCGATCTTGGCTGACTGCAACCTCCCAAACCTCCTGGGTCCAAGTGATTCTCCTGCCTCAGCCTTCAGAGTAGGCTGGGATTACAGGTGTGTCGCCACCACACCCAGCTAACTTTTTGTGAATTTTCGTCCAACCGATGAGGTTTCACCATGTTGGCCAGGAAATGGTCTCAGAAATCCCTGACTAAAGTTGATCTTCCCTGCCTTGGCTCCCAAAGTGCTCGGATACGAGGCAATGAGCCACCCACACCTGCGCATGTTTCCTTTTCTCTTTTTTTTTTTTTTTTTTTTTGAGACGGAGTCTAACTCTTGTCACCCAGGCTGGAGTGCAGTGGTGCAATCTTGCCTCACTGCAACCTCCACCTCCTGAGTTCAAGCGATTTCTGGCTAATGTTAGTAATTTTAGTAGAGATGGGATTTCACCATGTTGGCCAGGCTGGTCTCGAACTCCTGACCTCAAGTGATCTCCGGGCCTCTGCCGCTCAAAGTGCTAGGATTACAGGCATGAGCCACTGTGCTCGGCCTTAATTCCTTTATGGCCAACTGTTACACAGAAAAGCAAAGAGGTTATAGCAATATTTGTAGGCTTTATGGCTGGCTTTGGGGCAAAGGGGTTCTACTTTCTATGACCCTCTCTTGGGGAGGAGGGCTTCTAGTTTCTGTGGCATGCCTGGAGGGAGAGTAAGGGGCAAGAGACAAGAGGGCAGAAGGTCAGAGAGAAACTGCTTCCTAGGCCTTCACTTTGTGGCATTGTTTTCTAGGCCTCAACACTAGGTTGGTGGGAAAAGGTGAGGGCAGGTGCTTTGAAAACATTTTTAAAATCCTTTCCCAGCTAGCTTCCTACCCACTGAAGCCACACTGCTAGGAAGGAAAAAGAGAAGGGCAGATGCTGAAGCCCTGGAGAGTCGGCCTGAAGTGAGGAAGTGGCATGTGAATGTCCATCTTTTCTTTCCTCAGTGTGCCCAGGGATAGAGAATGGGAGACAGCAAGACAGAACAGAATGTCTCATTAACTCTGGGCAGCATCCAGATACTTCAGGCCTGGGAGAAGTGTCCTCGACTGCCCATGGGCTCAAAGTTAGGATGTAGCTAGTGAGATCAGATGCAACAACCTTGGACCTTGATCGACCCTCTTTCAGAGCCATCGTTGATTCAGGAGCCCTCCTGTAGGAGATGGGGCAGAAACATTCAGGTGAGAGTCCTCGGAACTGAGAATGTGGCGAGAATATCCTTGACTGCCAGCAGCAACCTAATTTCTGAGTCTCTTTCCTAATCTGTGAAATGAAGTAGTTGAACTCATTTTTTATGTAAGCTGGTTTGTGATACAAGAATATGGACATGCCCGGCGCGGTGGCTCACACCTGTAATCCCAGCACTTTGGGAGGCCGAGGCGGGTGGATCACGAGGTCAGATCGAGACCATCCTGGCGAACACGGTGAAACCCCGACTCTACTAAAAATACAAAAAAATTAGCCGGGCGTGGTGGCGGGTGCCTGTAGTCCCAGCTTCTAGGGAGGCTGAGGCAGGAGAATGGCGTGAACTCGGGAGGTGGCAGAGCTTGCAGTGAGCGGAGATCACGCCGCGCCACTAATATATAATACTAATATATATTAGTACATATATATGTACTAATAAAGTCCCTTACATATAGGTGTTGTTTTTTTTTTTGAAATGGAGTTTCGATCTTGTTGCCCACGCTGGAGTGCAATGGTGCAATCTCAACTCACTGCAACCTCCACCTCCTGGGTTCCAGGAATTCTCCTGCCTCAGCCTCCCAAATAGCTGGGATTATAGGCATGCGCCACCACGCCGGGCTAATTTTGCATTTTTAGTAGAGACGGGGGTTTCTCCAGTTGGTCAGACTGGTCTCGAACTTCCGACCTCAGGTGATCCGCCCGCCTTGGGCTCCCAAAGTGCTAGGATTACAGGAGTGAGCAACCGCGTCCAGCAGCATTTTCCCCCCATTCGTTGTTTTATTTTATGCCACAACGAGAAGGCGGGGCTAAGCAAAGTAGGTTTTTGTTTCCTTTGGTTTTCTGGGATGGAGTTTCTCTCTTGTTGCCCAGGCTGGAGTGCAATGGCACCATCTTGGCTCACCGCAACGTCCGCTTCCTGGCTTTAAGTGATTCTCCTGACTCAGCCTCCCGAGTAGCTGGGATTACAGGCATGAGTTGCACCACCACGCCTGGCTAATTTTGTATTTTTAGTAGAGACGGGGTTCCTCCATGTTGGCCAGGCTGGTCTTGAACTCCCTACTGCAGGTGATCCGCCCGCCTCGGCCTCCCAAAGTGCTGGGATTACAGGCGTGAGCCACCGCGCCCGGCCGCAAAGTAGGTATTTTTATTATAGTTTGTTGTTATTGCTGTCATTCCTATTTTGAGGTGATTAAGTGCCCTCCTGGGCCTGACTCGAAAAAGTGCACAGTCGGTTGCTCCTCCCTCGCCTCCATTCGTACTTCCAGGATGGCGGCTGCAGGTCACCTGACAAGAGACAAGGCGGGACGCCAGGCTAACAGTTTGTCCTCGGCGCGCCGCCGTAGCCCGCCGGCGGCCGCACGGTGGCCCTTCTCACCCACGCGCCAGAGTCGCAGTGGGCGGGCCTACGTGCTCCGCCCGCTGTGCGCCTGTCCGGCCCCCGCTAGCTCCGGAGTAACCGGCGAGCTCACACCGGCTTCTCTGCCCTCAGCCTGCGCGCCGCCATCGCCGTCATGCTGGGCGCCGCTCTCCGCCGCTGCGCTGTGGCCGCCACCACCTGGGCCGGCCCTCGAGGCCTGCTGCACTCCGCCCGGACCCCCGGCCCCGCCGCGGGTAAGGTCCCTGCTTGCCACTGCCCGCGCCCTCGTGTCCTTGCGGTGACCTGGGCCCCCGCCGCCACTCCGGGGCGGGCTGTCCCCGGCCTAGCCCTTGCCTACAATGGTTACTGAACCCTGTGACCGCGGGCCGCCCTGGCCGCCGCTTCGCGTAGTGGAGGACCTGAGAGCGGTCCCCCGGGGCCTCCCTCCGGGCAACTTCCTGGCTCTGCCACCGCGGACAGGTCAGATGTGGACCTACTGTGAGCGCCGAGGAGGGGACGCAGCGCTCCCCTTCGGTTCCCGGGCCATGACCCTGCCCCGGCGCCGACCCTGCGGCCGCCTGACCGAGAGTGGCCGCCGCCGGCCTGCAGCGCCTCGGCGAAGGTGACATTGAGCCTTCGGGCGCGCCGCTCAGGGTCCGAGAATACAATATGCTTCCTTGTGGAACACAGAATTATACTTTTTAATCAGACATTTCTCGGTTAGCGTTTAGTGTGTCACCTTCACAGCCTTTTCTGTCATTTTTAGAGACTGCTGTGCCACGTTCTCATTCTTCCACGTTTAAAATAGATCGACGTGTGTGGTTGTTTCCTGATCTCCGGAAGTTTTGATAGGGCTTATGATAAAAATATCACTCTTTTGAAAATTGAATGCCACAGACTCGGGAATACTGGGTTTTGCAAGCATAGGAACGCTTCTTGTTTTTTCCCCTTTGGAATAGAAGCCTGATTGCTGGAGTATGAGACGTGCTGCTGATTCTTACTTTCTTTCCCCTTATATGTGTACTGGGAGATTTTGAGTCCACCACCGTAGAATAATTACAGTAATTGCACTTCGCTCTTGGTCCGTGATGATTATATAAGCTACATTTTGAAATTTAGCTCCGATGCATCCATATTATATTTTACTTTTGAACCCGCATCACTGGAAACTGTGCATGCATATTTAAACATAAGAACTCAGAAATTCATTTCAGGGTATGCTGAAGTTAATTAAAAAAAGAACTCGGCCGGGCGCAGTGGCTCATGCCTGTAATCCCAGCACTTTGGGAGGTCGAGGCGGGCGGATCACCTGAGGTCAGGAGTTCAAGACCAGCCTGGCCAACATGGAGAAACCTTGTCTCTACTAAAAATACAAAAAAATTTAGCTGGGTGTGGTGGTATGCCCCTGTAATCCCAGCTACTCGGGAGGCTGAGGCACAAGAATCGCTTGAACCTGAGAGGCAGAGGTGGCAGTGAGCCGAGATCGCGCCATTGCACTCCAGCCTGGGCGACAGAGCGAGACTCCATCTCCAAAAAGAAAAAAAAGAATTCAGAAACTCAAAACTAATAAGGTTGTTGCCTTGACTAAGTGTTTTAACACTTCAGAACCTAAATAATATGTTTTGCTTCATTCATTTTAGACTTTATCTTTTATCATTTGTCATAGAACCGTAAGGCTGGAGGGTACTTTATTTTTGTTTATTTTTAAAGTAGAGACGGAGTGTCCCTATGTTGAACTCCTGGGCTCAGGTGATCCTCCCACCTCAGCCTCCCAAAGTTTGGGGTTATAGGCATGAGCCACTGCAGCCAACCTAGAGTGTGCTTTAGAGATCGTGGAGACCATTTTATTGTATAGAAAAGGAAACCAAAATCCATCTTGGGAAACTGAATTCTTGTTTGTTTGTTTGTTTGTTTGTTTTGAGACGGAGTTTCGTTCTTGTTGCCCAAGCTGGAGTGCAATAGCGTGGTCTCAGCTCAAGCGATTCTCCTGCCTCAGCCTCCAGAGTAGCTGGGGTTACAGGCACCTGCCACCATGCCCGGCTAATTTTTGTGTTTTTAGTAGAGAAGGGGTTTCACCGTGTTGGTCAGGCTGGTCTCGAACTCCTGACGTCAGGTGATCCACCTGCCTCAACCTCCCAAAGTGCTGGGATTACAGGCATGAGCCACCACGCCTGGCCGAAACTGACTCCTTTTTAATGGTGGAACCATTTTTGTTTCTTATAGTTATGTTTGGGCCATCCTGATGTTTGTTCAGATTTTGTGTTTTGCTAAAGTAACAGTACAATTTACATTTTTCATCCGGGCACAGTGGCTCATGCCTGTAATCCCAGCACTTTGGGAGATTGTGGTGGGTGGATCACCTGAGGTCAGGAGTTCGAGACCAGCCTGAACATGGTGAAACCAGTCTCTACTAAAAATCCAAAAATTAGCCAGGTGCGGTGGCATGCACCTGTGGTCCCAGCTACTTGGGAGGCTAAGGCAGGAGAATTGCTTGAACCTGGGAGGCAGAGGTTGCAGCAAGCTGAGATTGCGCCACTGCACTCTAGTCTGGGCAACAGAGTGAGACGCCATCTCAAAAAAAAAATTTTTTTTTAATTAATTAATTTTTTTTTTCTGGAGATAGTTTCACTGTGTTGCCTAGTCTGGAGTGCAGTGGCACCGTCACAGCTCACTGCAGCCTTGACCTCCTGGGACTTAACTGATCCTCCTGCCTCTGTCTCCCAAGTTGCTGGGACCACAAGGGTGCCCCACCAGTTTTATTTTTCATATTTTTCATAGAAACAGTATCTCCCTATGTTGCCCAGGCTGGTCTGGGAACTCCTGGGCTCAGGAGTGCCTCCAGCTTCCCAAAGTCCTGGGATTACTCTTTTTTTTTGTTGTTGTTTGTTTTTTTTTTGAGACAGGGTCTCACTCTGTCATGCAGGCTACAGTGCAGTTGGCACAGCTCACTGCAGCCTTGACCTCCTGGGCTCAAGTCATCCTTCCACCTCAGCCTCCTAAAGTGCTGGGATTACAAGCGAGAGCCACTGTGGCTGGCCTCAATAACTCGTTAATGTGCCCTCATTCCTAGAGTTACCACCACCAAAATGTTCATTCTTTGGGCCTGTCTGGGTTGATTATGTATTAAATGGAAAACTATCCTATTTAACTAAATTTAAACCTGAAGGATTAATGAGCCCTTTTATTTTTCTATATATGTTAGCCTTTTTTGTTTTTATTTATTTATTTATTTTTTTGAGTCGGAGTCTCGCTCCGTCACCCAGGCTGGAGTGCAGTGGCCAGATCTCAGCTCACTGCAAGCTCTACCTCCCGGGTTTACGCCATTCTCCTGCCTCAGCCTCCCGAGTAGCTGGGACTACAGGCGCCCGCCACCTTGCCCGGCTAGTTTTTTGTATTTTTTAGTGGAGACGGGGTTTCACCGTGTTAGCCAGGATGGTCTCGATCTCCTGACCTCGTGATCCGCCCATCTCGGCCTCCCAAAGTGCTGGGATTACAGGCTTGAGCCACCGCGCCCGGCCCGCCTTTTTTGTTTTTAAATGGAGTGCTTAACTGAATGCCAAAAAGCAGTGTTAGAAATAGCTTTTTAGAATGAAGCCCTAAAAATGTCCTCATTTTTCACAGCTGCTTCTTTTTTCTTTCTTTAGAACTTTCAGGTTACGTAAAAGCTCTGAGTAATTGTTTTCCAAAATAATTTGCCTTACAAGCTTCAATACTAGGTGGAGATCCTGTTCTTAAGTGGTGTGGGGTGTGTGGGGCAGAGAATGCTTGTATAGTTTACCTAAAAAAATATTAAGCATGTGGAGGATGTGTCCATAGCTAATAGAATAGATTCTGCTCTCCCCATGACTGGATTTAACAATATAATTTAAATCGTGTGGGGAGAGTCTGTTTTACCCCTTCAGAAAGAGATGTATGGGTTTTTAAATTTTTATTTATTTTAATTTGTTTGATAGAGAGTATTGCTCTTTCACTTAGGCTGGAGTAGAGTGGTGCAGTCATAGCTCATTGCAGCCTTGTTGCCCTGGGCTCGAGGGATCCTCCTGCCTCAGCCTCCTGAGTAGGTGGGACCTCCAAACCCCGCTAATTTTTTAAGTTTTTTGTAGAGAGTGGGGGTCTCTGTTGCCCAAGCTGGTCTCTCAGTCCTGGCATCAAGTGATCCTGCCTTGGCCTCTCAAAGTTCTGGGATTACAGGCGTGATCCACCGTGCCTGGTCTGTTTTATAAAAGAGTTTTTTTAATAGAACCAGTTTGTAATTTGGCTTCCAGAAGACATGTGATCAAATCCTTGAAGGTGGTGATCTCCTTGATTTGGAGTTGCTGTTGCTGGTCATCTTATTCACAGTTAGGAAACAAAGAATTGCACTCATGTAGTCAAATCCATGCCCAGCAGTGAACAAAAGGAATTGCGCTTATCATGAAGCAGTGTTCTGGATAGGACAGGTAATTACCTCTAGGGAAGGAGTACGTAGACCTTTTATTGGGTAAATACTTAGAAGTGGAATTACTGTGTTATATGGTAGGTTTGTGTTTAACTTGATAAGAAACTGCTTAAACAGTCTTCCAAAGTGATTGTATCATTTTATATTTGCATTTTAAGTATTCAGTTAAGGCTAGCTTTAGCTTTTGAAAAAGGTAGCTCATAAATTTTTTTTTGAGACAGGGTCTCACTGTGTCGCCCAGGCTAGTGCCGCTGCATCTGGCCCTAAGTTCTTGATAGTAGTGTGTTAGACAGTTGTTCTAATCTATGTGTGTGTGTGTGTGTGTGTGTGTGTGTGTGTGTGTGTATATATATATATTTTTTTTTTTGAGCCACCGCACCTGGCCTTGTTTTCTGATATATTAAATTTGAATGTTAGTCTTGTGAGACTTATTCAGTATCCATGTAGTTTTGATTAAATGTTCGCACTTACCAGATATATTTAGGTGTGGAGATCCATTTTTGTTGTAGAAATTAAGGCCGGGTACGGTGGCTCATGCCTGCAATCCCAGCACTTTGGGAGGCTGAGGCAGGCAGATCATGAGGTCAAGAGTTCGAGACCAGCCTGACCAACATGGTGAAACCTCGTCTCTACTAAAGTTACAAAAAATTATCCTGATGTGGTGGCACACGCCTATAATCCCAGCTACTTGGGAGGCTAAGGCAGGAGAATCACTTGAACCTGGAGGTGGAGGTTGCAGTGAGCCAAAATTGTGCCATTGCACTCCAGCCTGGGCAACAGGGTGAGACTCTGTCTCAAAAAAAAAAAAAAAAAAAGAAATTAAAACGTATTCACTTCTAGTCCATTTATGTACATATTCCACTTCATTCTGGGCTTGGATTATGTAGGTAATTTAGGTCTCTGGGAAGATCTTTTCTGCTTTGGTTTTTTTCCTACTCTTCCTCCTGCTCGTTACTGCATTAAAGATATATAGGATATTACTAACATTTAAATTTCAGAGTATTCTTAGAACAACAATGTTGAGAGGTTTCTGGGTGAAGTTTAAAAAAAAAATATATATATATATATATATATGTAGCTATATGATGTTAAAGCTGGCACGCGTAGCTCCTGCTGTAAACGATTCTAGTACTTTGGGAGCCGAACAGTGGAAGATGCCTTGAGGCTAGGAGTGTCAAGACCAGCTGGGCAACTATACGCAAGACCCGCATCTCTAAGAGAGTAACGTAAATAAAAATACTCTTAAGTCTCGAACTAGAAGTTACACCACAGCTTGAGCTAAAAACAGATAGTAGGAATGTGATTTGAGTAGTTTCATCTGTCTTTAAGTTAGATTTCTATACAATAAGACAATAACAAAGACTTTTTTTTTTTTTTTTTTTTTTGTTTTTTGAGACGGAGTCTCGCCGCTGTGTCACCCAGGCCTGGAAGGCAGTGCGCGGGATCTCAGCTCCGCAGCCTCCGCGCTCCAGCGTTCACGCCATTCTCCTGCCTCAGCCTCCGAGTAGCTAGGACGTACAGAGCGGCCCGCCACCGTCGCGGCGCTAGTGGTCTTTGAGTAGT